ATCATGTAAAGTATAGCAGAAACCATCCTCTAAAAAGTGTGCTCCTTTGCCTTATGTGACTTTGTACAAATCTTTTTAAAAAATACTATTCTGTAGGCTTTACTCTGTGGTCTCAGTACTTCTAACACATTTCTAAATGTCAGTGATTTATTACAGGTACATTAAGTATATTAGACACCTGGCTATTTTTCATCTTAGTGAGGTTATTTTCAAAATGCAAGATGCCAGCAGAATACTGTTTGTGCTAAACTGCATTTGTGCCTACTTTGCTTCTCTTTAGGTGAAAATGCCAGATGTAGAATTTTTTGTTAATTTGGGGGACTGGCCTTTGGAGAAAAGGAAGCCCCCACAGAACTTGCACCCGATCTTCTCATGGTGTGGGTCCAGTGAGTCAAAAGACATTGTCATGCCAACATATGACTTAACAGACTCCGTTTTGGAGACTATGGGACGGTAAGAAATGGCTTAAACTTTTCACAAAATTCACAATGAATGATCTTCCATAGAGATCTGTATGGTAACAGTTTATTAAATTTTTTCATTTACTCACTGAGACACTGGCATTCTAGGTAGACAGTAACTGTGTAATCAGTGTACTATTATGCTTCACTGTTTCATTTAAAAATCCAAATTTATCTAAACGTGGTCAAATCACTGAAAATAACACTTAAGAGTGTTTCAAGGCTAGGTATTTGATTTGTTTGCTTTGTTTTTCCCCCCATGAACTTGTTGACAACTAGCCAGGTGTCTTTCTTCCCTGATTTTGTTAGAATCTGGTTTTTTGTACCTTTCAAATCCCAACACAATTATTGGGAATTCTTGAACTAGGAGCTACCATCTCCCACTTTGATTACTACTGCAACTAGCCTTGGCAACTGCTCTTTTATGTCTTGAAACACTACAAAGACAGCTTGATTCTAAGAAATCTTTGTAATCCATCTTGAAGTTACCATTTCACTGCATTTAGTTCAGGTTCCTTTTTTTTCTCAAGAGTTTTTCTAATTTGCTATCCCTTGCCCTCTCAGTTTATGTGTTTAATTTCTTCACATTTTTAAGGATGTGCAATATGTTTTACTAAGCAAGTTACAGTACCTTGCATCACCTTCTCTGGCAACCATATCTACTTTTACCTATTTTTTTCCATGACAGCTGACAGGTACTGTTTCCTCATGCCATGTTGTTGAATGATGCCGTCATGCTACGTGCCTGTGAACTTAACATTCATTATCTGTTTCTATTGCTGCAAATGACTGATACAGTAACACATTATGAGGTGCTTATGACTTCCCTTCATCTTTGCTCTCTGCCTGTGGGTACTGTGAACCCTTAAGTAACTGCACTTTAAAAAGTTTCCAGTAGGCTTCACTATTGAACCAGTTCTTTCTGCTGTAGAGTCAGCCTGGATATGATGTCAGTCCAAGCAAACACTGGCCCATCGTGGGAAGACAAAAACACTACAGCCTTCTGGAGAGGACGTGACAGCCGCAAAGAGAGGCTTGAGCTTGTAAAACTCAGCAGGAAATATCCACAGATCATAGATGCTGCTTTCACAAACTTTTTTTTCTTTAAACACGATGAAAGCGTCTATGGCCCTATCGTTAAGCACATTTCATTTTTTGATTTTTTTAAGGTAAGCCACTAAGAATTTTTCGTAGAAGTCAGTTCTCATTGTTTCCAATTATCAAATAACTTAGTATGTATTATTGAAAATAAAGTGATTTTTAGTTTTTCAGGAGACCACCAGTAACAAGCATGACTAGACATCCCTCCAGTGGGATTAACTCCTATGTAGCTCTTACCCTCAGGATAATAATGTCTGATTTACATCTAAAGGTTCTGCAGAACCTCATGTAATCTATGTAATTTCAAGTTCCTTTTTTATCTCTTTTTCCTGATTCAGCGATCAGGACTACTAACATAACTAACATAGTGGGAAAATCAGTGGATGAAGTGGCACATCTACCCTCACATCCAAGGATAAGCACCTAAGAATTCCTGGAGAACTTAATTGATGAAGCTCTGTGTACCCTGCACTGTGATGAATTCCAGACTAGATAATAAAAGCTTCTTAGACATTGATGCTTGCCTAGCCAGTCCTACCTGTCTCAATATCGGCAAGTCAGTAACACCAGTGCCCTCAGAATATAACCTAACCAAGCCACTGGGATCTTGTGGTTTTTAATAACTTCTGGTCCTTTTCTTTCCAGTATAAATATCAAATTAATATTGATGGCACAGTGGCAGCATACAGATTGCCTTATCTACTAGCAGGAAACAGTGTGGTGCTAAAGCAAGACTCCATCTACTATGAGCACTTTTATAACGAGCTGCAGCCATGGAAACACTACATCCCATTTAAAAGTGACCTGAGTGATCTGCTAGAAAAACTACAGTGGGCAAAAGATCATGATGAAGAGGTAAAATATGCATTAAGAAGTATGCAGTAATGTTTCTAGAAGAGAACAGAAATTGAATTTCTTTAGAAAAAAGCAAAAAAAAATACTAGGAGAACTTGAAATTTGTTTTCATCAACTCTACAAAGAAGAAAAACCCTCAAAAATGCATAATATTGTCCTTAATTTGAAATCAAATTGAACTTCAGGAAACAAGGAGTATCTTCCTAACAAAACCTTAACTTTTAAAAAGAATTATTTGAGTTATCCTAAACTGTCAACTTCATTTGTAACTCCACAACCAACAGTAGCACCCTGAAATAAATACTAATTCTGGGCAATTAAAAAAATAAACCAAACTTTCATTTTCTTTGACAGGCAAAAAATATTGCAAAATCTGGACAAGAATTTGCAAGAAACAATCTCATGGGAGACCACATTTTTTGTTACTATTTCAAACTTTTCCAGGTCAGTATATTTTTAATGGCTACTGGCACAGAAATAGAAATCACACAGCAAGAATCTGGGGCAACAGAACTGCTGGACATTGGCCAGTCTGGTACTTGAAGCCATGAAGCAAGCATCAGCAATTAAAATCTTCATTTGGTTTTTACAAACATTGTATTCAATTTATATGCTATGAAACCCCTTCAGACAATGCTGGCTGTTTGAGAGGCAGTGGGATCCCATAAATCTTGATTTAATCTGCCAGAATATGTAGCCCACAATGATCAAAGAATTCCACATCAGACGCACACCCTGTGAACCACAGCTGAAAATATCTGTGCATTAGCACCAAGATACTGAACTCCAGGGAGGCACCCAAAGGGGCTCCCATCTGCAGCTGAGTGTTCCCTCACCCTGTCTGTGACAGTCTGAAGGAACAGATTGTGTAGCCCCAGAGTTTTTACAGAATTGCTCAGCTGATTTGGTACAATATTGGCAACTAGATGTACAATCTAAAAAATTCATGGATTAATGATACCTTCCTTTTCTAAAACTAGGAATATGCCAGCTTGCAAGTGAGTGAACCAAAAATCAGAGATGGGATGGAGAAGGTGCAGCAGCCTGATGATGACCTTTTCCCATGCACTTGCCACCGAAAAAAGGTACAGCCTATGCAGAGTTAAATGTAAAGTGCTGAGTGTCTTCAGTTCCTGCTCAGTCCCGCTGGAGCAGGGCTGCTCAGTGCTCCACAGTATCAGTTATCAGGCCAGGCCATTAACACCTGTCGAACTTAGAAACACTTCTTGATGTATTTGCAGGACTAGACAGTGAAAAATAGGCTTCCACTTAACTGAAACATGTTTCTTCTTTCTTGACTGCAGGCCAAAGATGAACTCTGACAGAAGTAAATAAATTTTTTCAGTATTTACCTAAATTCAGACTGTCTTCTTAAAGAAAAAAGAAAAATTCTGGGTTAGTATGCCTGTGGATAATGTCAGTGGATATTTTAAAGTTTACCATTTCATGATCTACGTATGGAAGAAAACAAAGCACCCCTGATTTCCTTTTCATCATGCAGTGGTGGCAGAGCCTTATTCAAACACATTTTTATAATTTTTTTAAAATAAAAAACATGTTTGTATCAGTCATGTGTTCCTGTCCTGAGTTACCTTGGAAATGCAGGTACTTTTTACTCATGCTTGTATATAGTAAGTCTTTTCACAAACATGAAGCTGTTCTGCAAAGAAGGGCTGATGAGAATTGTACATCGTGCCCCCTCTACTCTCCATCCATCCATTGGCATCTTTTTTCAGTCCACAACTTTGCTCCTTCTGAGAGACTCTCAAAGGCAATGCTGTGAGGTTCATAATAAATCTTGTTAACCTGAAGGAAAACCACAATTCCAATAGGGCTGTAAGCTTGGTTATACCAACAGGTTACTAACAAACAACCCACAATGAGAAAGGCTGCAGCTGCCAGTACACACTAAGTGTTTCATCCACGCTCCAGTGTCAGAGCTCAGACAGTGACCTGAGTTCCTCCTGTCACAATGGATGCAGAACTGGTTCCTGCTCCAGGAGCTCCTCCATCACTAAACTCAATTTGTCTACCAGTTTTTATTTATCAGAGAGTGTCTGTGATCAGTCCTTTAGACAAAGAACATGGGTGGACTCCTCAAAACTGAACCATGTTCTTTGTTCCACATGCCCAGCTGTGCCTGCATTACCTCCTCCTCCTCCCCACACAGGCAAAATCTGGCTCCCTAAAGTGGCAGACACTGTGACCAGCTAGGGATTCCTCTCCCTGCCTCATAGGTTTGGAAACACCTGGGAAGGCCAGCACACAACACCAAGGCAAAGCAGTACACCAGGCTTGCCAGCCTTAGGGGATGTGCTGGCAGAACCCTACCAATCAGAGGTTTTAATTGCAAGTGAGTACAGCATCAGTAATATACTCGGAAACTGAGGAACCTTAAAGATACTCTGTCCAAGTACATTTTTTTCCAGTATATTACTTCAAATACTAGTCAAAAGCATTACTTAATCCTCTGCATTCCCAAGTGTTGTATTTGGTTATTTGCATAGAAACACAGAGAACAATGCTGCCATGATATATTTTCTGTCCTTCTGGAAGTTCTTTATTGTTCTGCATTTTTTTTTCATTCATACAAAGCTTTATTTGCATTTGCACTTAGACCTCTGAAAACATCAGTTTTTAAAAAAATATGCCTCTAAAAAATAACAAACCCTTTATTTGCCACATGTAGGAAAAATGAAATTAAGATACTGCTTGAATACTGCAAATTATTTGTGCTGCAGCTGGACATGCTCTCTAAGCCAAGAAAAAACTTGTGCATTTACTTCTTCCATGACATCATCTGCTGTTCGTCCTTTGACTGCCATCCCATGGTTTGCTTTATCAATCCAATGGATTTTTTTAGGGGCTTTCATTTTGCTCACCACACCTTCTAGCAATTGCTGTGGAGAAAACAAGAATGCAAGTATTAGAGAATTGGCTGCTACCAACTCTGTAACTCCTAGATGGCTCTTGCTTTGCCTGTGTAATGCAAAATAAGAGGCTCCTAAAAAGCAGATGGATCTGTGTGCACATGAAAAACACCTTGCTAGGAAAATGGGATGTATTCTCTATTCAGGATACGAATACTGAGACCTGCTCAAAGCATTACCCTCACTCAGAGAACAGCAGAAAATCAGAACTTCAAAGGAGTCCATTTTTACTGTCAGAGGGTAGTGCTGGCAATAAAATGATAAAATTGAAGTCAGTGTGCAGAGGCTGAGTAGCAATGTAATTCCTTAGGGACTAGCTTTGACACTGTTGTAATTTCTCAGGAAACAGATCTAAGAACCAGCTCACAAAATCAAAGATTCCCCCATAAAGAGGGCACTCCAAGATCTACTTGCTGGTCACTAGCCTGACTTATTTTGGCAACAAATCCTCACAAAAGCATTATGACTCCTTAGAAACTGTCCAAGCATGGAAAATGCCAATTTTACATAGACCCAAATTCACACTGACCTGTTCAAGAGCAACAGATGCCTGTTTGCAAGGAAACATGGCAGAAAAGCACTGTTTCCCTCTCTCTGTACATCTGCTCTTCGTCTCTACAAAAATATCACTTTTTACCACAGAAGCCTGACTTGGGGGTAGAACCGCTTTGCTAGAAGAATTTGCCATGAAAAATGTCACATGTGACCAATGTGACATTGGTGGCACCGCACAGGTTTTGTAACTTGAAACGGATAAAAGAAAATAGCAAATAACTCACTCCTTCCATAGACCACTTTTAATTTATGCAATCCTATCGAAACCATTCAAATCAGGGGTATTTCAGTGACCCAAAGATGAGCTTGCTAAAGTGGAAGATCAAGCATGTTCCATTACGTTTTAAGCAGCAAAAGGAAGCACTGCCAGGCTTCCTTGTGTCTGATGAAGTTTTCTACCCAAGGCTTCCTTCAGAAGACACCTCTTTAGGCAAGGCTGTTAATCAGGTGAAATACAGGCATCACTGAGGCTCATTGCTGCTCCTCCAGACTGCCCTTTCACAGCAGGATTTACCAGGGTACTCACTTTTTCACACATCTCATCTGCTGATCCTGAGACAAACAGCACTGGACATGTGATCAGTAATAAATCCTCATCCCGGAGCTTGGACTGCAGTTTTGGTCGATGCAATGGGTAAGATAAACACACAAGACCTTGAATGAAGCCATCATCATCATCACCCTGGCTCAGCTGACGTATCACAGACGCAGCAGCTCGTGAGCCCATGGAACGGCCTTTCTCCCATGCAGAAATAAAGGAAAAAAGTATTATCTGCTGTCACCTCATCTACATTCTGGTTTAGTAAACAACTCCCCAAACCAATCCAACTGAGTGTATTTCACTGGCACAAAATTCTACGGATGGTCTACTTAATGAAAAACATTAATCCTAATTTCAACATTTTCTGCTAAGATAATTTGTCTAGTTGTAACATTTACACCCCTGTTTGAAAAAGAAGGGGAAAAGAAAGAAAATATAAATAGATAGGGATCCCTTGCAATGCTGGAAGGGACATGTCCATCCTGGGGACATGGGGAGAGGAGGACTGGTCCTATGCTCCAGAGCCTGGAAATTTGAAACAGCCATGACAGTATCCTGTATCATGATTTTCATGCAACCTCAATTTGCTCAACTTCAAAACAAAATTCTGTGCTTGATTTCACTTGGCTCACAAAACAAATCCAGCAAGAGTTTATGCACACCTTGAACTTCAGCCTAAAGGTAAAAGTAGAAGGAAGGGAAAAAAGTGTGAACTTGGAACATGAGGTCAGTCAGTAACAGCAAGGGAATATCAAAGTATCTCCTTAAAGAGGAGGCTTATGAGCTGACAATGCACTGCAATTGAGTGTCACAAGTTGCTAGTTCTTATAGCAGCACAGACATGGTTTCACTTAAGAGCAAACTTAAAATTTTCCCTATCAAGATATTCCTAACCACCCCCATCTATTCCCCTTTTCACAAAACATAGCTGACTTTTTTATCTGCCACTAGGTTTTAATTACCAAAACCTGTTTTGGGAAAACTGTTTTCCATTTATCAGGATTTTTCAAGACCTGCAGTTAAAAAGTACACATGGATAATCAGAAAACTCATGCCCTGTAAATTCTAAGTGACAAGGAAGTTTTCTCCCAAAGTACCTGGAAAATACAACTTTCTTTCCTCTTCTACAGTAAGATCTGTTGTACCATAAGGAGGGTTCACTTGCTTCTCACCAAAGTGGGACAGATTTGGAATACTTACAGATTGCTATTACTAGAGACAGTATAAGAGAGAAAATTATTGATAATAAAAACAATACCTGCAAGGAAAACACCAGAAAGTTTATAATCATCACAAAGTTTTAAGTATTCCTAAAGAAATAAGAGAAAGAGAAACATTGTAAGTCGGGAAGATGGCGATCTCTTCTGTTTGTAGCTACTACACAGAAAATGGGAAGCTCTTTCAGCACTGCAGATTAAAGAAAAGATACATACAAGGTGCTCTCTTGGGTTTTATGACATAAATGGTTTCATAACGTTTCGCAGCAACAACATAAACATAATCAATTTCACATTAGCTCTCAGCAAATCTAAAATATCAGATACCCTATAAAGTTACCAAAACATAAGTGATTACTATGTATCAACTCAGTTACAGTAACAGACCCCATTGTGTGAGGTGTGATGGGCACACTCTTGGCCCATCAAAAGGAAAAGCAGGTTTGCAAAAATGCCCTTCATTGAAATTATGTATTTGTGACACAATCAGTCATGTCCAACAGAAAAGATAAAATTCAGCAACACTTTTTCACGTTTTAGGAGATAACTAATCAGATGCTGTCTTATCAGATCATCTTAGCAGATGCCTTAAAATTACCTTTACATAGCAGCGTATTAACATAAATGCACTAACAACATTATGCTTCTTCCATAAAGACTGAAGATTCCCCTTAAAGACAGTAAAGTCTGACCTCAAATTAATGTACATATAATCATAATGACATTATACAAAATTCCTTTAGAACTGGACTTTGGTCCCCAATAAAAATGCCTCCTACTCAATGCAAGCAGATTGCCCATCCTAAATTCTTCACTCAGCTTGTTTCCATCCTAAATTCTTCCACTTTTTGCAAGCTGTAAGCTTTCCCATGAAACACCCTTGCTTTTTGTCAGGTTTTTCTTTGTCCCTGATCTCAAACCCGCACACTTGTGGCAGCTGCTCCAGCTGTTGCCCATCTAAGAACTGCTTCTGCTGTTTCTATTCACACACAGTGCTCCATTTACCTAAACATTGGTTCTCATTTTCCCACTGTTGCTTGACTAATCTCTGGCTGTAATTTGAGAAACCTGGAAGACAGCACCCATGGATCTAAGCTCTGGTCTAAGAATTTTTTCACTCCTTACCACAACTGCTTTGAAAGCCTTAGTCCTGTAAGCAACATTAAGGCCTTTACAAGTAAACCGCAGGCACAGAACTCCATGGGATGCAAGATAGGCTGCCAAGGACACTAAGTGAGGGAAATTCATGTCTCCTCCAGCTCCATGAGTAAGAATCACTCCATATGTTGGTTTCTTCTCTGGGACAGAAAAGATAGCATCAAGGTATTTGTTTCCAAAAGGTATTTTCACTTTAACCTAGAAATGAAACAAAACCCAATATTATTATTATAAAAAAACCAAAAAGCCCCCAAAAAAACCAAGGAAGTGTTGCCAGTCTCTACATCTACACATTATTATGAAAAAAACCCGAGACAATTAAGAAATAAACCCAAATTGCAAGCCTGTTTTTATTTCTTCTTGAGTAATTGAGTAACTGCACCTCTGGCTCAAAAAGTTTTCGTACAATAATGGGCAAGTCACTTTATGACTCCACACCTTATGTTCTGCATTAGAGAATGAAGCTTCAAAGCATAAAGTGAAATGATTCTGTCCCTACCTATACATCTATGTCTAGCTTTTCCAGACCTAACTAGCTGCCTAGACCATAATACGTGACATTAAGACATAGCCTAGCAAACATTTTGAAATCACACAGTGGTAACCACTGAGTGAAGCAGCAGACTGCACAGAGGCTCCAGGGGTACATCAGCACAGCCAACTGGAGGAGCTGACCCAGACACAAGACCTGCTCATGTTCTGCGGAATGAACGGGACTGGGCAACACAAGTGGCCCTGTGGCGGCTTCTGAGAGCAAAAAGGACACCCGGGGCTGGGATAAACTCAGCGTCCCGAAGGCGCTCCGTGGCAGCGCCCCGCAGAGGAGCTGCACAGGCCGAGGGAGGCGCTCAGCGGCCCCGCCGAGCCGCGGCCCCCGCAGCCCCCGGAGGGCTGGCAGATGCCAGAGCAGGAAGGGGATGGCGGAGCACGCGCGGGACAGCCAGAGGCCTGCACACAGGGACAGCCAGAGCTGCAGCCGCCACCAGCCACGGACACACCTCTCCTGGGAAGGCAGAGGCGGCAGCGCACCCACCCCGCCGCCCCTGCCCAGCTCCAGGGCCTCCTGAGAGGGGAAGGGCAGCTGTCCCGGGCTGCAGGAGCCCGCTCATCCCCACGGGCGGCAGGTGCACAGCCCAGCGCCGGCCATACCTCCGCCCGCCCGCTCATCCCGCCGTGACGTCACCGGAGTGACAGCCCCCCGCGCCAGTCCCGCCCCGCGGCCCGGCTGCCGCGGCGCTGATTGGTCAAAGCCAGCGAGGCCCCGCCCCCCTTGGGGGGGAGAGGTAGAGGCTTGCGCGGGGCACAGGGGGCTGTGGAGGGACGCGGGTTGGGCCGTGTTAAATACATGAAACACCCAGAAATAAATAAAGCCCCACGTAAATTGTTTTTATTCAGCCGTGGGTACAAAAACTCCACGGACTGCTAGGTGCTAATTCAGCACAAATAAAGCAAATTGCTTAGGGATTGTTCGGAAAGTCAGGGTTTTACTGACTTCAAGGAGTACAGATGAGATGCTTGGGATGAGTCACAGGGTCACAGAGTCATTTAGGTTGGAAACGACCCCTGAGACCATCGAGCCCAATCTATGACTGGAACCGCCATGTCAGCAAGCCACGGCACTGAGTGCTATATCCAGTCATTGCTTGAGCACCTTCCAGGGATGGCGACTCCACCACCTTCCTTGGGCAGTCCACTGTTTAGAAACCCTTTCCATGAAGAAATTGCTCCTGATGTCCAGCCTGAACCTCCCCTGGCACTGCTTGAGGCCATTTTCTCTCCCTTTTGCTGGTTGCTTGGGGGAAGACCACCCACCTGGCTACAGCCTCCTTTTAGGTGGTTGTAGAGAGCGATAAGGTCACCCTGATCCTCCTTTTCTCCCCTCCATCTCCCTCAGCTGCTCGTCCCGAGACTTGTACTCCAGACCCTTCAGCTGCTCCATCGCCCTTTTCTCCGTTGCCCTTGCTCAAGTGCCTCAATGTCTGTGTGGAAGTGAGGGCCCAGAATGGGACACAGCATTCAGGGTGGACTCGGCAGAGCCAAATACAGAGGGAAAGGTTAGATGTCCAGAGTGACATCAGGCAATTTTTTTTGGCAGCTGTCGGCACACTTGATCCATGTGACATTGACAAACGGGAGAGACACTGAATGGCTGGTTTTCTAGGTACACATCTGTCTCCAGGGCTGTGCTCTGTTGTACAGTAAATGACCTACTGTGTTCAAAATGCAGCCTTAATCTGGTGGAAGACAGCACCAACAATATATAACAGTGCTTGCAGTATTTCTATATTGAATATTTCACAGGCCAGTAAAAAAATTCCAAAATATTCTATTGCAAGGTATTTAGCCAGAGCTCATGTTTTCTTCCGGTGGTATCAGTGTATGAAGCTCACTCATATCAATTAAGATGCCCTATTACTTAGCTGATTGAAGATGTCATCACCCAGCAGAACTTTGTTTTTCATATGTTCGCCTGCTGGAAAATAAGCTCACTCTGGCTTGTGCTCCGAGTGTCTCACTGTCATCCTGCCAGCTGGACATTGTCAAACACTGGGATTGAAATATTGCAGCACTCTGAGAAGTGAACCTGGCAGGGTAGCTCAGGTTCTGAGCTGCTGTCTCAGTGACCATCCTGCCACCTCACAGGCCAATTCCCAGTCCAGGCATTATTGTAATAAGTGTGAAAGACAAAAGTGGAGAACCTGGGAGATTTACAGGGAGATTTATTTGTCTGGATTTCTACCTTGCCTAAAAGATGTCAAGCTAAAGTGAGATGCAGAAGTGTTCAGCTGAGTGAAAGTCAGGCACAGTCTGCGTGAGTTGTGCACCTTCCACTGAGTTGAGCCATAGATGGTGTCCAGGCAGTTGCTCCTGGAGCCATGGGTCCCATCTGGGGAGTCCAGCAGACTAGGGAAATGTCAGATTAATTTGTCTTGATTGGAGATCACACTATTCTAATTAGTAGTTCACACCAGTTAAGCCTTTGTAAATAAGATACTTGGCAAAAGTGGACTGAGAAGATTTGTTGTCCCAAAGTAGTTACAACCTCAACCTAGAAAACAGGCATGCAAGAAGAAGGTTAAGAAAATCTTCCTTCATATTAATTTCTGGCTTTTTTAATTACTGCTTTCATTTCTATATGTAATGGATATTTTTGTGCACTGGTGTAGTTTATATTTTTGGTGCTGTTTTGCTCCTTTCTTGGTCTGCCTTTTGCATTCTCTTTCTTTTTAATTTTTTCTCCCTCTTCAGTCTGCCTGCTGTATTTGTCCTGCTTTACTCACATACTGTCTCCAGAGCAGTCCTTGAGGAATATGTATCCCATTAAATCTACCCATGTGTTACCCCTTCCCACTGGAAAACTACTTTCTTATGCTTTCTGCTTTACAGCAAGCTGGTACCAGTTTACTTCCTATTTTTCTCTCTTCATTTTCTTGGCTCCAATCTCCTTTCAACACTTGAAACTCTTCTGTGCATAAGCACAGTCTTTGAGGTAGGGTAGCTAATACCCAGCAGAGTTGAGAACATCACAAATGCCAGGCTGGATGGGGCCCTGAGCAACCTGGTCTAGTGGAAAGTGTCCCTCTTCGTGGCAGAAGGGCTGGAACTGGGTGACCCTTAAGGTCCCTTCCAACCCAAACTGTTCTGTGATTCTGTGATGAAGAGAATGTGTGAGGAAGGAGGGACTCTGTCATTCTTTAATCCTCTGGTCCGTGGCAATGGGGTTGGACCAGTACATTCTTGCCGCACTTTTCCTGCTGTAGCTTTCTGTCTGGAGGATAATGACCCCAGGTATTGCTAGTATGTCAAAGGCAATTGAATTATAAATACATATACTGGATTCCAACTCATGGGCAAATTCTTTATGATGGATAAATTTTGGGTTTTATTGAGTTCTGCATATCTAATAAAATGCATTAATCAACATGCAAATGATTTTTTTTTAAAATTTGGCTTCATAAAGCAATTCTCATATCAAACTATTGCAAATTACGTCTTTCTGGGTTTAGGAGGACATTTAGATATTCATGTTGATTTTCAAGTGTGCTGAGTAACTATTCTGAAATCCTGTTGTATTCCTTTCCAGGAGTATTGAAAATCTTTTCTTTTTTTACACACTTAAATATTAATTAATATTGTAAGTTAAAGCTCTGCCAAAAACCCAAATATTAATCTTTTCTGAACTTCTGAATCAATGTTTTTAATTTAACATCTAAGAAAACATGGTTTCTTAGGAGCATGGCATAGTTTCATAACTTAACCTTACATCACTCCTGGAAATAGAAGTTGGTTCTGGAAACGACATAGTACATACATAATAATCTAAGTCTGTCACCAAATATGAAAATCATTTGAGGTATGTGATTTGCCATTTCTCAATGGGAATATATCTCGAGCGTTATAATCACCTATGCACTGCTGTAAGCACCTCTGACAGATTTGATATGCCAAAGGCAGCTGGGTTTGAAGAAACAGTGGCTGTTTACCAAAGAATGACATTATTCCTGGTCTAAACTTGGGACCTGATAACTTTCAGCAGCACATCAGACAATCCCTGTTCTTTTCTTTGGATTATAAATACAGCATTTCATACCAGAGGCTTAGATTAACACACAATGGGAACAATAGAGATGACCTTTTGCGTTAATCTTTTGTTGGAATATATTTGTTCAGAGAAATGCATAAAAATAAAAACATATGTTGGGGGGGGGGTCTGTATTTCAGTGTAAAATAAATAACAGCTTAAGGACATTAGGATCAGAAACATTTTTTTCTTTTCCTAAATTTTTTAATAGAAAACCATAAATATGTGTTTGTTTGTTTGTTTGTTTTCTTGTTTGTTTTAGGCTGGTAACCCAGATTTGTTCTAAAAGTTCAACTCTCCCTCTAAATTACAAACTTGACTTTTGAGCAAGAACCTTCTTGGGGTTTTGTTTTTGTTGGTTTTTTTTCCTGTGGATACACATCAGCACATGAACATGCTGTGTTCACAGGTGTCAAAAGTAACCTTTAATAATTTTCTGAAAGTGTTCAGCCAACTATTACCTGATTAGGCAGTATAGTTTCCTGTGTTTAAAAGTGGTGATATCCATAACACTGCTTAATTTTTAGCTATTGCATCATACTTATTGAGGGTCTGAAGAAGTTTTGAGTCCTCCATGAAAGAGGAAGTGATGGGCAGGCAATAAGCAGAAACACTTTCTCCAGGAAGGGTGAAGGAGTAAGCCCACCCATTTTTAGTCTATTCAGACTTACTATGTAAGTGTGTTACTGATATGCAATGTATAGTTTATAATAAATATATAATGTGTGTGTGCTAGGCACCTATTTTTATTAAATTATGTCATGTGCATGGTGCCTTTTGTAGCATTATATAGGTTACAAACTCTGGGAGCACTGATAACGTCAGGTGACAAATGTGCAGTGCATAAAAACTTCTCTCCATGGGCACGAGTCTCTTTGAGAACATTTCTGGCTTTGTAGTTGTGGTGCTAAATGAAATTTTCTTACTTTAATTAAGGAAGGTGTCATCATAACACATGCTTCTACATGACAAATTTGGATGCTATACATTTTTCAGAGTCTTTGTTAGGGACTTTGAATTCCCTCATTGTTCTTGATAAATGCAACCACTTTGTTTTCCAGTGGCAGCTGTTACAGTTTTTGCATGTGCTGGGACTGCACAGGGCACTGCTGGCAGGAGGTCGCTCTCATTATTCTCTCCCCTTGGCTGATGGTGAACTGAGCTGGCCAGGAGCCAGTGGAACAAACCATTCTGTTCTCAGTGCTGAAAGGAAAGAATAGTTTTGGCATGTTCATACAATCTTTGAGTGCTGAGCTTAATTCCATGTATGTTTTTGTTCTGAAGTTTCACTCTATCTGTTGCTTTTTAAAAAGGTTAGCATGGTTAGGGATGGTAAAAAACATCATTGCTGTTGCTAGGGT